TTTGCCTTGGTGTAGCCAATGATACTACTTCAACTCGGGCCATACACTGTGGCTGTATGTAAATTTACAGAATGGCTAAAGAAGCCTAAGATCATCTGTCGTATACTCCCTTTATCTAGTTAAGTACATGCATCTTAGCTACTTCTTTGGATTTACTGAAGGCAATATTTTAAGTGGTGACATGAAAAAATACAAATTGCTCGAATCCCAAATAAATTTTGATTTTATCACATACCTTACTCTTATGGATTATGAAAGGTGTATGCATAATTTACTTGGATGATCATGTGTTCCCTTACTTACATCTCCCCTTTTGGAGAGTTTAGGAATCAACTTCTCCAAATGGGATAAGTTTGTCTACTATTTACCACTATAAGATCAGTCACCGGTAGGCCTGTCAATTGTGTCGGGTGTGGAGAGTTCATGTCAAGTTTTAGTGAATTTGTATCAAGAATCACTTCATTCATACTCAATTCGTTTATTAATTCGTGTCTAACGAATCGTGTCATATCAGATTCGTGTTGTGTATGAACTGTGTATAACTAGTATATAAACATATCGTACCATATATTTTTTCTGATTGATTTCACACATACCCGATTCGTTTGTTAATTGGATTGTGTCGAGTCCACTCGTTTACTAAACGGGTGGCTTTAAGAAAGATCTAAAGATTTTAAACTCTCTAATTTCGTGTCGTGTTAACGGGGTCGTCTTATATTTTGACACTCTTAACTATACTCGGAAGCCTTGTACCACAAGTATAGAGTTTATTATTTTTTGTGTTATATATTGCTTGATGTCCTGAGAGGATGAACCTGCCAACATATATTAATGGTCTAAAGGAGTCTGGTGAACTTTCCTTTCTAGACAATTGTTCTTGCTTTCTCACGGGAAGGAGTTAAAAGAATTCTTTGCACATAAGAAAAAAAAAAATTCTAGAGAAGAAATGTTATAGAGATGCTTGAAAATATGCTTCAGATGATTGAATTGCATTTCAGAGAGGACCTGGAGTCACCAATGCGGTGAAAGTTTGAGTCTCGAAATCAATCTCTCTTCAAAATAGAAGTAAGGTAGCCTATCATTTATTTCTTCGAGACTTCACTATGGCAGGCCCTCCGCCGGGGAGGGAGGGGGGGGGGAGGAAGCTGTATAGGACTTGACTCAACTATATATGACTACAAATAGTTTTAGTATAAATTTAGTAAATTTGACATTAACACAACTTAAACACCATTCAAACCCGACATAAACATTAAAATAGCCCTGCTGAATATGCTTGACACTCTTTGCAAGAAGGAACTGGCAATGAAACACTGTTTTAAACGATAGGCACATAGCGATGTCGAATTGTTTTGATACAATTTTTATGTTAAATTACCAGCTAACAAAGGATGAATCCTTTTTTTCTTCTCGCGAACGATGGGAGCACCGACCACCTAGAGGAATCAATCTCATTCTCCTTTCAGATTAAAGCGGCACTTAAAAAAGCCTGGTCCGTCAAAAGTCCAGTTCCTTCGCAAACAAAGTTGAGTATCAACAAAGATTTGTAGAACAAAGAGTTTACAACTGACTTAAAAAGTATAAAATGATAGAGAATGCAACTTAAATGTGTATACTTCAATATGCCTTCACGTGTAGTATAAAATTTGAGCGTTATAATTTTCTAATGATCAAGATTACTTGTAATAAATAGCGGATTGAATTGGTTATGGACTAGTTCAAGATGAGTTAGATGCAAAACAAATTCAATCTATTTTTAACTCGTTTAATAAGTAGGTTATAATGAGTTAAATCATAATGGGTTGAATTAAACTCATTAACCTGTAAAATAATTAAAATTTTTAATATAAACACATATTAATGCACCAAAAATATACACTAATACACTAAAATGCACACATTAATACACTAAAAATACACACAAACATACCAACACACATATTTAATAAAATACACAAGGGTCGGGGTTGGGATCGGGTCATGGGTCTGATCGGGTGCATCAATATATATGTTAAATTGTTAATGTATATTTGCAAGTGGATGTATGTGTATTTTTTGATATATTAATATATTTATTTAATTTCATTACTTATGTTATTTAATAGAAAAATAAATATTCAACTCAATAAATACTCATTTATAATCTATCTTAACCCACTTAATTAAAATAAATCCTATTATCCAAACTCTCATAAAACACGCACTAATTAATATAAATACTTAACTTATTTAAAACCCGCATTAATTAATATAAATACTCAACTCATTTCTTTATGAACCAATTGGGCAAGTTAATAAATAATGGGTTAAAATTACCACCCCTGATGGCACCATCTTAACCACCATCTTCTCTAGAAAATGAAGCTACTAGCGTGAGTTTATACTTCAACGATTTCTGCAAAAGAGCAAATTCGAAGTCCTGTTTACAGGCAACAACACGACTAATCTACATTAGAAACACGATTTTACCCATGAAAAATTGACCCCAAAAAAAAAAAAATTACTCGTACAATCACCGGGGAAATTTTCCATTCTGTTCGGTTGGGCAGAGCTCTAGTTTGCTATGATAAGCATTTTAGTTTCAAAATGAGCAAACTGTATATCAATATGAACCATAACTAGCTATCAATTTTCTCCTTTGAAGAGAGAGAGAAGGAAAACACACTCTCACTGCTCCTCGGACTCTTCTTCATCGGGTAATATCACAGTCAGTAATGAGTACTTAACCCGAAGTGAGATCCTGCCCTTCTCAACCATAAGTCTAGCCCCGGAGACAACCCAATACCCGGGAGTGTCCTGTGGCCCTCTCGTCATCTCTGTTGAGTCCACCAACTTCAGGAGCTTGGGTGCCTGAACAGGAACTGGAGGCCCTCCAGGGTAAACTGCAGAGTTTATGTTCACATCAGCTGGTTGTGGAGGCAGCTTCTGAACTGCTGTGAAACGATGGCTTATCAAAGTTGACATAAGTCCAGATTTACGGGTCAATCCTGGGGAACCTTCCCATTCTGGATGCTTTGCAGCAGCAGCTCCCAGGACAGTCGAGAAGCGGAGTCTTAAGAAGAGAACCTTTTTCAAGCCATAATCCCGAACTTGTAATTGGGCTCCGGTAACTATGGAATGTTCCTCGTCAGACTCAACTGGAGCAGTGCAAACGTGGGAGTAGTTCTTCCAGTGAACTTTCTCATAATATTTACGATCATGGGACTCCTGAGGGAAGTTGCCCATTGGATCGTCTTTGAGTTGCAGGAGTTTCGGAAGAGAGGAAAGGTGCTGCAGGTGGATGGCCAGTCGGTTGCTTCTTTTACCTTCTAGAAATAGTCGGAGGCCAGTCACAGGCCTCTTACCCACATCCACCTGTCATGAAATCGTTAATAGGAGTATATCCCAGTAAGTTATCGAGAGAAGCATTTAGACAAGAAAAGGTCAATGCTTTGCATGCTAGATCTGAATCAACAAAAAACACGAGATCTCAAAGTTTTTGAATACGGTACTCATTTTTGGGCTCCAAGTTGAACCAAAGTATCAGAATTTTCTTAAACTATTTCTTTGAGCTAAAATAGTTTAGCAATATGAAACTGAACAGAAAGTAATACCAATAAGAGATGGATTCAGTAAGATCAAATATTGCCCCAAATTGGCCACTTTATAGCTGGGCCGGAGAAAAAAAAACCAAGCATATACATTTCTTGAAAAGATAAAACAGCCCAGAAATTTAACTAAATATAACCAGCGCTACTAATGAAGATTGCTCCATAAAAATAGACCAGATGCATTGCCATATGTAGATATCAATATTTAGTTGAAGAAAAGTTCGCTTTATACACCAATCAGCTAATACAAGTAACACAACTATGAGAACACAAAATAATACTAGTTTATGAAAACCCACTAAATCATGATGTAAATGGTTCAATAACAAGCTTCCTTAAAATGACAAGAACAATAGTACTAATATTATTCCCGGCATCATATATAGGAGTTCACACATTAGACTGGTTCGCCAAGATGAGGAGGTGACGCAAATAACCCGACCCATTCATTTAACCGTTTGGACTTCACTTATATGCAAATGTTGTTCTTCAAAATTCAAGCCATCCTTGAGCCACTTATTAAGGTTTGTTGCCCAATCCAAGCAGACCCAAGCTCAAATGAGGTGGGCTAATGACATCTAGTTCGGGAATTTTACATATTATTTTATGGGAAAATTATAGATTACCGTCCTATAATTTGACTCGGTAACAAGTAACGGTCAAAGATTAAACTTAAAATATTTTTAATAAAATGACTTATACCATTATACAAATAATATTTCTTATTTTCCCTTTCTCTAAAATAAATCAATCTCTCTCTTTTGCTTTTCTATACATTAAATAGATTTCCTAATTTGTATAAAATGTTTAGAAAGAAAAATAATAAAAATTTAATAATATGTAGATTTTTAAAGTATTGGTAGGTAAAATATTACCAAGTCAAACCAACCACATAGGTGTAAGCAATGACTTGCCCTTATTTTATTAGCCACACTTTCATGCAGTGTTATTTAAGGCGTAAAGCGAACCGAAGCGACCAAGGCTCCTAACGCCTAGGCGAGAAACGAGAAGCGAAGCGACACGCTTTATCAAAGCAAAGCGAACAGTTAAAAAAAATATATATTTTAGTTTAATTACTTCTAAACAATCTAAGTTCTAATTTTATATATACTAAATATTTAAATGTAAGTAAAACCATAAACATTTAAATTAAAACAAACACTAATAATATCTCAAATCTTAATAACAGTCATAACTTAAACATTTAAATTCAAACAAATACTAACAATTGTATACATTTTCATATTGACAGGGTAGGACAACAAAAGAAGCAGAATCTGGACAGCAACAGAATCAGCAACAAAAAAAAAAAAGCAAAATGAGGATAAAAAAAAACAGAAGCAGCACAGGACAGCAAAACTGAAACAGCAACAGAATCAACAAAAAAAAATAGAAGCAGAATGAGCTAAAAAAAAACAGAAGCACAATGATCATGACAGGAGCAGAATCAATTGCAAACAATTTCATATGTAATTATGTACTGAATAAAAAAAGCAGAACAGAGGCACATTTCACATGTACTAAAATAATTAAACATGGTATAAGCATAGACCACTTTTTAGTACCATTTGTATATATATAAGAAAAGGGAAAAGTATAACCAAGACATATCAGAGACACTTCTTTGTAGAAGACTCTATTATTTACCCCCATTCCTGATACTCCTACTTCCTTTCTTTATCATAATTTTGTCATGCAGTCGCCTGACTCCCACATCCCACAAATATTCTAAATGAATTCAGCAACACAAAGAAAAAAAAGGAATGTGTTTTGTTCGAAATATTGTTTATTAGAAAAAAAAAATAGACCAGCGATAGTTTAAAAAAAAAGTCATTAGTGATTAAAAAATAAAAGAGACTACTAACCTGTAATCAGAAAAAAAAAAAAAAAAAAAAAAAGGGAAGCAAAATCGACTCTTATAATAAAGCGTTCGTTTTTTTCGCTTCTTTGCTTTTTCTCGCTTCGCTCACATTCGCTTCGCCTGGGGTCCTCCAGGCGAGATAAGCTCGCCTCGCCCCGCTTCTCGCCTAGGCGAGCTTTTCAAAACACTGCTTTCATGACCATGAGTGTGTGACTTATTGGGAACTTTGTTATGATATGCATTATTTCTAAATTAAGGCCAGTTTAGTCCTTTGTATTATAGGCCTATATATATGTTGCGTGTAGTTGTTTAACCTAATACATTACACTCTTTTCTTAATCTCTTTCTCTCTTGTTCTCTCTTATTCTCCAAAACTCTTTACGCCGTAATAATTTAACTTGGTATCATAACATCGATTATTGCGTCTCAAAGTTGTTGAAAATTCATCGGAAACTCATTGGAAATTAGTCGTCTCAATAAACAGTGCCTGACATCACTTTCAGGTATGCTAACATCAGCACCAAACCTGTCAGAATTTTTTGAGGTTTGGACCATTTGGATCGACTTCGGATGCTGAGTATTGTGGTAAGTCTTGTGGAATTTTTCAAAACATTCTGAATGGTTTATTGATTTTTTGAATGTTTTGTGGGATAATTTGGTTTGAAGTCGCGACTGCCCTCCTGATGCAAGCAGTAGCTTTTTGCCTGGTTTTTCCCACTCAAACAGCATCAACTAGGGCTAATCTTGAATGCCCATAGCCTTTTGATGGTTTTTGGTCGGATTTGAGACAATTTTGTGCCTTGTCTATGTATTGGCACCACTGGTTTGGTGTGCCAGTCTACTGTACTTCATTGTTTGGCTTGACAAGAAGTGTTTTGCCTTTTGGTTTGGGCTCTTTCTGTTACTTAAAGACTGTACGATTATTGTGAAGTCGTTCCCTTGGTTTGATCTGATTGTTGATGTATGATTTCTTGGGATTCTTGCTATTTTTTTTGTTGATTATATTGTGTGAATATGTAGAAAGTGAGTGTGACATCTTCTGGTATTGGAGGAAATACCGAGGTACTGGATTCAACCGTTTAGGTACCTTAGCAAACAATCCCTCTCTCCAAATTAGTCCATAGAAGCTGGACGAGAGCAATTATCTGGCCAGACTTGTTTACAATCCATCCAAGTAATCTCCTCATATGGGTATTTGACCGGAGAGACAAAGAAGCCGATTGAGTCTGACCCATCCTTAAAGCAGTGGACATCTAAAAATGCCTAAATTATGTCTTGGTTTCTTAATTAAATGCAACCTTCTATCAGTCGAGGTTTTTCGTTACTTGATATAGCACAAAACTTGGACTATTGTTGCTCACACATATTCTCAAATGGACAATTATGCTAAGGCATACAATCTACGAAAAAAGTCTAGGAGAATAATCAGAAGGATAAGACTCTTAGTTGACCACTTTATGGTAGGAGCTTGACTACTATCAGAGCTTACAAGCAGATTGTACTAATAATAATGCTGTCAAATTTCAGCAAATAATAGAAAAAGAATGAGTATATGACTTTCTTGCGCCCCTTAATATTAAGTATGATTAGGTTCCAATTCAAATTTTGGGTCATATCCATTTCTCACTTTACGGGAGGCTTTGTTCGGCAGGAAAAGAGTCTAAGGGATTGCTATAGTTTATGCTCTTCTTCAAGAATATTCTGGTTTGGTTGTTATCCCTCAACGTGACTTGGGTTCACTCTTGCCCAAGTCTACTGAGACGAGTGGCACTGTTTCTAAGGATATCTTAAAATGAGATTATTGTAGGAAAACCAAACATACTAGGGAGTTCTGTCAGACTGGACGTCCAACATGTGGCCGAGGGGATAATGTGCGAAATCATACACATGATTGAATCATCAGATTCTTCATCTCAGTCTACTTCCTCTAATTTCTCTCAAGATGAAATGTAGACTCTTAGGCATCCGATGGCTCAACTTGATGTTTCCTCTACTACAACTCCTACCACTGCATCTTCATCCAATTTTGCTCATTCAGGTATATCTGCTAATGCATTTATTGCGTCATCCTCCAACACTCCTTGGATAATAGATTGTGGAGCCACGGGTCACATAGCAGGTTCTTCTAGTCTTTTCTCTTCATATTCTACATGTTCTTGTAGGGATAAAGTTAAAGTAGTTGATGGATCTTTATCCTCTATTTCTGAGAAAAATTCAATTAATTGCTCACCCTCTTTATCTCTCTCTTTTGTTGTTCATGGTCCATTAATTTATTTTCTGTTAGTAGTATTACAAATCCTTAAATTATTTAGTGACTTTCTTCCCTACTTATTGTACTTTTCAAGAACTGGGATAAGGAAAAACAACTGTCAATGATAGAGCGCATGGTGGTCTATATCTCTTGGATGCTAAAGTTTCTCCTCTGTCTACTTGTCAAGCTCTCCAGGCAAAAGGTATTTCAACTCTTTAATTCTTACATCAGTGGCACAGACATTTGGGACATCTCTTATTTAGCGTTTAGAACATCTTTTTCCTAGTCTAGTAAAACAGTATAATAAACAAGTTTTTGTTTGTGATGATTATTAATTTCTCAAGCATAAACGTTCATCTTATCCTAGTACTAATAATAGAAGTACTGTTCCTTTTGTTGTTATTCATTTTGACATATAGGACCCTCCCCGTGTCAAGTATATTTTTGGTTATCGTTGATTTGTAACCTTTATTGATTGTTGTTCTCTTCTTACTTGAGTTTACCTACTATGCAATAAAGGTGAAATTTTCTCATGTTTTAGATCTGTTCATAAAATGGTCAATACTCAATTTGATGCCAAAGTCAAAATCTTTTGTAGTGATAATGGAACCGAGTATATTGACGGAGAATTTCATTCTTAATTCAATGAGAATGAAATTCTATATCAGACCATATGTGCGAGTACCCGGAACAAAATGGCGTTATTGAACCAAAAAAAATTGTCCTCTTCTTGAGGCAGCTCGTTCATTGTTTATTATGAATGTTCTCCAATCTTTCGTGAGGATGTTGTTCTTCCTACTGCTTATCTTATTAATCGTCTACCTTCGAGTGTCCTTCAGTTTAAGTCACCAATTAAATGCCTTTTTTAATTTTCTCACATCCCTTCTATTTATTTCCTTCCTTCTAAAATTTTTGGGTTTGTTTGTTTTGCACATAATTACATACCCTCCAGGGGAAAACTTGATCCTCAAGTTCTGCGATGTGTCTTTGTTGGTTATTTTGCCACCAAAAAGAGCTATAAATACTATCATCCATAGTCTCAAAAAATACATTTTAACATAAATGTCACCTTTCGAAAATTTGAGCCCCTTTACTCTACTACCCAAACATCTCTTCAAAGGGAGAATATCACTATAGAGAAAGAGATGTTAATAAGGGGGAGCAATAAATTATGGAGAAACAGTGATTCACATCGCGATCATCTTCACAAGAATAATCTTAACACTTATGCTTGACGTCAAAAGGTACAGTTTACCTATGTGCCACCGAACCAATTGAATTCCACTACTCCAGTTCCATCATCCCTGATTTATCAAGTAATGAATCTCCTGGTGTTACTCTTATTATGAATAATCTAATTGTTGATAATTTTGGGCTTCCCATTGCAATCAAAAAGGGGTTTGGTGTTTACATCCTATCTCTAACTTTATTTCTTATGATTCTTTATCTCCATCCTATCGTACATTTGTCTCCTCCTTATCTTTTGTATCTATCCCTCATGCAAGGATCAAAATTTCATTTCAAAACGTCCAAAACGTTTCTATTTTCAAGAAAACCAAAATGAATCAATAATGAAATTGAAACTCTAATACTTCGACATGTTTCATAATATTTCGAAGTATTTTGTAATGTTTCAATTTATTTACACAATTGTTTTGAAATGTTTCAAGGTATTTTAAGATACTTAGGTATATTTCAACCAATATTTTAAAAAAATAATTTTTAAATATTTTAATTTTTTCATTTTGTTTTCAAAACAAGTCAAAATATTTTTTTTTTCTAGGTGATTGAAATAATACACCAAAATAAAATTTTGATCCTTCACCATAGGGTTGAAAAAAGGTTTTCACTAATCCCAAGTGGTGAGAAACTATGGTAAAAGAAATAAAAGCCTTGAAAAAGAATTGACCCATGAGAGCCTATTTCTATTCCTCCAAGTGCACGAACACTAGGGTGCATATGGGTGTTAACTGTGAAACAACAAACTAATGATTATCAAGAGATACAAAGCTAGGATGGTTGTTAAGAGATTTACGCATACATATGGTATTGATTATTAAGAGACTTTTACTTTTGTGGCAAAGATGAACTCCATACATACGCTTATCTCCTATGCAGCTAATTTGGGGTGAAATTTGCAGCAATTAGATGGAAAGAATATCTTTCTTTCACAGAGATTTGAGGGTGGATGTGTACATGGAGATTCTTCTAAGTTTTTCATCCCAAATAACTGAAGGAAAGATATGTAAATTGAAGAAATCTCTTTATGGATTGAAGCAATCCCCCAAGCCTTGGTTTGATAGGTTCCTTGAGGCTATATTGAAGTTTGGATATAAACAAAGTCAGGCTGACCATACTATGTTTATCGGATAGGTTGATGACAATGAAGTCACCAAATTGAAAGCTCAATTAACTAATGAGTTTGAAATCAAAGACTTGAGTCCATTAAGATATTTCATTGGGATTGAGGTTGCCAAGTCAAATAAAGACATTTTTATCTCCTAGAGAAGTATATCATTGACCTTCTTGAAAAGACATGGATGTTGGGATATAGATCTACAAATTTCCCTATTGAGGTCAACCATCGACTTAGTGGTGGTATTGGTGAGGTAGTAAAAAATGAGAAATACTAGAGACTAGTGAGAAGATTAATCTATCTGTCACGTACCCGACTAGATATTGCTTATGCAGGGAGTGTTATCAATCAATTCATGCATGATCCTCAAGCTCCTCAACTTAAAGTTGTTTATCGCATTTTTAGGTATCTTAAGTCAGCTCCAAGAAAAGAGATCTTATTTTCCAATAATTGTCACTTGAAACTAGAAGCATTTAGTGATGTAGACTTTACAAGTTCAATGGATGATAGAAAATCAACTTTAGGCTATTGTACCTTGATTGGAGGTAATTTGGTCACATGCCAAAGCAAAAAGCATGCAGCGGCCAAGTCTAGTGCGGATGCTGAATACAAAGCTATGACTCATGGGGTTTGTGAGCTTATGCAACTCCAAACATTACTGAGAGGGTGGTGGATTTATGATGATGGACCTATGAAACTATACTATAACAACAGGCCGCTGTCAACATTGACCAAAATCCAGTTCAACATGATAGAACAAAACATGCTGAAATTGAATAACACTTTATTAAGGAGAAATTAAACAAGGGTGTGATTTGCATGCATTTTGTGAAATCAAAAAACCAATTGATCGATATCTTCACAAAGGGGCTTCGTAGAAAGGTTTTTCACCTCATTGTTTACAAGTTGGACATGAGATATATAACTTATTAGGGAATGTTATGTTATGCATTATTTCTAGATTAAGGGTAGTTTAGTACTTGCATTATAGGAGTATATAGACGTTGGGTGTAGTTGTTTAACCTAATACATTATACTCTTTTCTTAATCTCTTTCTCTCTTATTCTCCAAAACTCTAACGCCGTATTAATTTAACTAAAAGATTTTTTGGATATCTCGACTCAGATCTTAATCTATGAGCACAGTCTTCCTTTGGTTCTTCGACTTCTCCCCACCACCTCTTCTTTCCCACCCTCCCCCCTACTGATGAGAATCGTATAGGAATTGGATAGATATTTTGGATTAATTATGAAAGTTATTTGAATATTTTTAGTATTTATCTTTTTAACTATTTTCTTTTAACTTTTGAGGGTTTAGTTGTCATTTTGATTATTTATTTATTTAGGGTTTGTGATCTCTTTATATATATACGATTTGTGAACTCCTTATATACATAGGGGATACATATTTGTTGTGGAATATTTTGATTATTGATTATTGATATTAAATCCTGATACTGTTTCTTCCTCAAATTCTCTCTCTATTCTCGTCTCATTCTTCTTTTCTCATCACTTTCTTCTTCCGTTCTCATCCCTAATTCTTCCCTACTACGATCTACACCAATTTGGTATCAGAGCTAATAAGATCTAAGTCACCTGCCCCCCCAACCCCCCCCCCCCCTTTCTCTTTTTCCTATATCAAAAATCTATTCCTCTAGGGTCCTCTCAAAGACGAAAATCCCAGATGTTTCATTTAGTGTCCCTTCCTCCATGATTTAAGATTTTTTCCATCCAAAACTCATGAAACTTCACTGATTAACATTTACATACAGATTCGTGATTTCTCCCTATGAAACATCTTGCAGCACTATTAATGCCTAAGAGATGCTAAGCCACAGAGTTGATAGACAAAATCCAACTCAAAATGAAAAATCACCGCACAATTTGCATTGATCAAAGTGGGAACAACCAATGAAGATATTATATCAAACAACAGAAGCTTTACCGGGGTGGTGTTCACGTAAAGCTTGGGACCCATGAAACTAAACTGTAAAGACGGTGTGCTATGTTGCCTCCGCTGCGGACCAAGAGGAAGATCACTGAAAACAGGCGCCCACTGCCTCGGCAGCTGAAATTCCAAAAACTGATTGAGCTCTTCAATTGGTGGTTTATCTGCAAACAGAAGCCAAGGGGCAGAAAGATGTCAGTTTGTGAATTATTAGATGTACTTTGAAATAAGAAAAAATTAACCACGTAGTTCGGCAGAAGTATTAGATGTCCAAAACCCTTCACCATGCTGATGTTTCTGTTTTAAATTTTAAGTTCGTAAACTATGCAAGAATCACCACCAGCATGTAGCTCTGGATGTATCCATGGGAGTTCCTCACACATAAACTAATGGTCAGTAGTTGAAGATTTCAACACCCCCTCCCCTTTTATTTTCGCAAGAAAATGTTATTATTGTCTTCATATATATGGAATAAGTAAAGTGATTCCATGAGACACAAAAAGAAACCTCGTTGAACCAAGAATGTAACATTTATAAAAAACAAAATGAGCAGAGTACACCAAGAGATGAATCAATCTTGCTCACAGCGCAAATAGAGATTTATAGCATGGCTCAAAAAACCGCTGCCTGAGACACCATTCAACAGAGAGGTTATTGGGATGAAGGACATTGAGATCACATCAGGCTCTAACTGCACTGTGTGCAACCAATCATTATGGGTTAGGTTTCTGTTATCGCTTCCACCCCTCCTCTTGCAAATGCTTACGACATCCTGTAATTGAACAGTAACATCATACACAGATTCTTCAAAACCTGAGAGAGAGCAATTCAACCAGGACATAACAGTATTCTTAGAGCATACCTCCTTGTATGAACAAGAACTTGAAGGGCTGATATCTGCAAACCTCAGCCGCTGCTCCCTGATTTCAAACTGAAACAAAATGATTAGATAAGACATCAAGAAACTAAAACCCATTAGATATGCAAACATTACTGCTCAATCATCTCATATAACATTTCAAATAGCCTTAACAATATCAAATTAATTTAGTGACCAGCAGGGAAAAAATCAACAGGATTGCAATGCAAACACTAAAGGTGCTTTTAACCAAAAGGTATGAGCAAAATTAACTAAACTTGTGTTCATTTTATCACGAAGGTATTTCCAACCAGAAGGCATGAACCACTGAGGGAAATATAACATTAATAACTAATGCACATGCAACCGAGTCCAACGGAGACTTGAACCTGCACCTCCCTCAAGCTAACATAGCTGGTGGATGCAAGACAACAGAAAAAACATAACAGAAAATCTATGAACTTGACTAATGTATGTTTTCCAATTGCACTTATGTCCTTTTCCACAGAAGTTATTCCATGAGCATCACCTTTCTTCAGGCCATTTAGTTTTGTTCACCAATCATGGCTCATAATTAGGAGATCCAATGATGAGTACCCAAAAATGTTCTATATAGTGTGATGCTGACAACATTAGCTGAACATGCTGTGGTGGTTATGTGGGAAGAGGATAGTTCACTTTGTTTTGCTTTGCAATAATTTGAATCATTGAATGGTCCAACCAAACTAACAGAGAAAGGGGGGTAAGAACCCTATTGCAAGTGAAGAAAAACTGTCAATTATCTGTGGTGCATAAAGTAGTTAAGGCCTCATGGAGTCTTCCTCTTCAGGGTTTAGTCACTTAAGGGCAAAACACCGATAATGCAATTGAGTGAAAAATTGATCATCCAGCTCATGATCCAACAAACTCCATTGAACAATTAGACATCAACAAAATTCTGGATTTTCACTGAGAGGCTTATGAAAAAGAGCACCTCATCAGAATTTCAGGTGCATATCAGGTCTTAAGATTCCACAACTCATTTTCTAAATTTTGTTTTATTTTTTGGATAACCAAACGACTTTCTATGAAGATATTGGAAAAGTCCCAGCATTTTTATTACATTTCACAACTCTCACTCTCCTCGTTACAACGTTAAAGCTGGTGGCGTTCAGAGAATCCTCAAGAACTCAGATTCTAGGTAATCCACTTCCAAATGTAAGCAGAAGC